TTTCTTTCTCTGGTCCTCGCGGCTCGGCGGCAGCGGCACGTCGACAGCGGCAGCGTCCAGCGGCACGTCGACAGCGGCAGCGTCCAGTGGGATGTCGGCGTCCTTTCCAGTCATATGAGTGGGGAGCGCCCCGCCCGCGAAGCTGACCTTGATTGTTGGGTTTGGTCCTCGCGTCGCGAGGTTCCTCGAGGGCATGCGATGCACCCGGATGACTTTCTGGTTTGAGAGTTCCTTCAGTAGGTCATCGTTGGAGATGTCCGTCAGCATTTTGCTGCGGATCACTCCGTGCACGCTGTTCAGGTGCACTGCCACTTGGACATTAACCGCTTGACCCAGGATGGACTTGGTCTCAAGGGCTTTTTTCGTCTGGTTGAGATCGTGGGTTTTGAGGAGGGCTCCCGACCGGATCGGCTTGGCGTCCAGAACGGGGCCGAACAACCGGTCAACTTCGCGGGCGAGCGCGAAGGGGTTCGTCCGTTTGAAGTCAGCGTTGTCAAGTTTAGTTGCCAGGAGGAAGCAAGCTCCCTCCGGCGGGTTTTCGTTAAGTTGAAGGATGGCAGGGGGCTCCCTCCCCTCCCGATCCATGACCGTTACTATACGGTCCGACTTGATGCTAGTTCGACACTATTGTAAAAAAAAAGATAAAGAAATTGGGCGGAGCGCCGGCTTGCCGGTTACCGCGGAAAACCCGACTCACCGCGAGGAGGAAAGATGAGCGATGGGGGAGGGGGGGGGGGGGTGACAAAGAGTCTCCCGAAGAGTGGGTGATAGAAAAGAAGAAAAAGTCGACCTTTCCTAATTGGAACTGTGTTGCTCCGGCGGAGCGAGGGAGTGGCGTGGCGTGGCGGCGAAGGGGTGGGAGCGCTGACGATTGTGGCGTCCAGATTGTCGCATTGTAGGGAGACAGTGTCGGCTTCTGAGTGCCGCTACTGAGGCTTTCGCTGGAGCTGCTTGAATGTCTCGAGAGGCGGGGCGGCCTTATAGCGGGGTCTGCCTCGGCAGTGTCGGAGTCTGACGGGGAGCTGTGCGTGGAGGGCGAGGCCTGAGGGGCGCTCGGCGAGGCCATGGAGCCGGCTTCGGGGTCCTTAGCAGTGTGTTTAGGAGTGGTTGACGAGGCAACCTTCCGGATCGTTTTTGGGGCCGGCAAGGGCGGCCAGTCGTCCTCGGTCGGGCGGTCGGCGGCGGCGGCGGCGATCGGGCGGGCGGGCGGCGGCGGCGGCGGTTGGGCGGGCGGGCGGCGGCGGCGGCGACCGGGGCCAGCGCGGAGCGAGTGGGAAGGGACCCGGTGTCCGACGGTGGGTGCGGGGCGGGGAGCAGCCCGTCGGGCCGCTCCTCTCGGAACCACGTGGCCCCGTTGGGCCGACCGTGGCCTTGGGCCCGGTGCTCCGCGCGGCGGTTCCTCACCTCCGCACGGTGCCACCGCCTGGCGTCTTCCGCGACGGGGCACTGGCGGTCCCACACCGGGTGGAGACCGCCGCAGCCGAGGCACTGGACGGGACCGCCGCACTGTTCGGGGTTGTGCGGCCCGCCGCAGCGGCCACACCTGGGCTCACGCCGGCGACATGCGCGCTTTGAGTGACCGTATGTCCAGCATTTTGTGCATGGACGCGGGGCCGGGACCCAGGGGTCCACGGGTACGGATAGGTATCCGCATCGGATCGCCTGCGGGAGGGTGCGGCCGCTGAAAGTGAGGCGAACGGTTGGGTTTGGTCCGAGTTTTTGAAGGTCGCGGGACCGGAGACGCTGCACTCGGACGACGCCTTGGGTCTGCAGCTCTTCGAGGAGCTCTCGGTTTGTGACCTCCGTGAGGGCGTCCGAGCGGACTGACCCCTCGATCGAGTTAAGTCGGGTGGCCAGGGTGACTGTGATGGTGATGATGATGATGATGATGATGATGATGTGGTCGGGCTGTCACCGGTTGCATCGGTAGCCCTATAAACGCGCGTCGGGTGGTGGGAGGTTTCTGGGATATGGTTAGGATGTAACCTGGACAGAATTAGACAAGTCAGCTTCTGTCCGCTCCAGTCCTCTGCTCACCATCCGTCACGGTCACCAGTTTCCTCTTCCTCAGTCTCCAGAGCTTGTAGAGTCCCTCCTTGTTCTTCTCCATCTCTTCCGTGCTTTCATTGAAGAGGAATGTCTTCAGGACTTCTAGTTGGTCTTCTTGGTGTGGGCGTTGGAGTGAAGTCATCTTGAGCCGTTCTTCTGCGAGTTTGGTGCACTCAAGCAGGAAGTGGTGCTGGTCTTCCTCCCCATCTCCACACAGGAGACACGTGGTTTCTTCGCCAGTGTGTCTCTTCCTAGTCTCCAGCGGGAGCGTGTTGGATCTGGCCTGGAAGAGTATGATTGACGATGCTGTGTTATCGTAGATCGGATCTTCTTTAATGGCTGTTTTGGCAGATCGGTATACCATTATACTGGACTTGGCCTCGAGCTCTTCTTTCCACTGTTTGTCATCCCACTCTTTCAGGCGTTTCTTCAAGGTAGACTTGTTCATCCTCTCCAGTTCTGCAGCATTTAATCCCACAGCTTCCAGGTACCGTTTCGTTGTCTTCGCCCATGTACTTTTCCGCACTTCTAGTTCTGCTCTGGCGATCCTTCTGATGAGGTCGTTGCTTCCTTGCATCGCGCCTCTCAGGAACTGCAAGTGCCCTTCCATGATCCTGGTCTTCATCAGGGAGGTTCCCACCTCACCTCTGAGCGTACAGATCGGCGTGTATCTCGGTGCTCCCAGAATTTGTCTGAACACTCCATTCTCACATACTTGGAGCTTCTTGATGTCTGCGTCCGTAAGGCTCAGGATGCTCGCCCCATGAAGAAACGAAGGGAGCGACAGACATTTCCAATAGCACTTGCCAATCATCAGCTTGTTGCAGCATTTTTGCGTTATTCCTTAGGTCATGTTGGCCAGCTTTTGGGACTTCTGATGCATTACGTTGATGTGTTCCTTGAAGAGCCTTTTCTTGTTTGTGACACAAACTCCCAGGTACTTGATCTGTTGAACCACAGGGATGTCTGCGATGACCTTGGGTTGCTCCTGACAATTGTAGATGATGACCGCGCTCTTGTCTTTGTTTATCTTCAAACCGAACTTGCCACTGATGTCCGCCAGCGTTGTCACTAGGTGCTCTGTCTCCTGTAAAGTCTCAGTTAGGACGAGTCCGTCGTCAGCAAAGAACAACACTGGGATTCGGACAATATCATTTTTGAAGCCCAGTCCCGTATCTGTCAGAGCTTTGGCGATAAGGTATGTTACAATCTTGAAGCTTGTCGTTGACCCATTGCATCCTTGTCGTATTCCTGATGTGACGTCGATGACTGCTTCAGTCCTGTCATTGAGCTTGATTTTCGTTGAGTCTCCCTGGTAGATTTGCGTCGTAGCATCAATGATTTTGGAGTCGATCTTGTAGAACTTCAGGGCTTCTACCATTTCAGCTCTATTAACCGAATCGAAGGCCTTCGAATAGTCAATGGCTGTCACAAACAATGGCTTTTTCCTGCGAAAGCTGTCTTCAACGCAGTAACGCAATAGGAATAAATTGTCTTCAACCTTCCCCCCACTAGTGAAACCTGCTTGTATCTCTAGCATTTCATCATTATACTTTAAGTGACTCTCAATTTTATCCTTCAGAATACTCATGAACAGCTTGTATGATATGTTTGTCAACGCTATGGGACGCAAGTCTTTTGCAGTGGGTTTCTTGATCTTGGGGATCATTTTAGTCTTCGACGTCTTCCACGAATCTGGCTTCGAGTCGGCATCCAGTTGCTGTTGTAGACAGCTTGTTAGGGTATCTAGGCCTTCCTTCGTCATTACGAGTGCTTTGTATAGTTCCGGTTTGAGCAAGTCTGGTCCTGGTGCAGTTTTGTTCTTCAGTCCGGATACTGCTTTTTCACATCTTCTACTTCAATCTGTGTGGGGTTCATCTGTGATATTTCCTGTCTCACAGGGAGAGCCATATCCATCAACTCTCTCATGTGTCTCGGGAAGTGGGGTCCCTCGTGCACAGTTCTCCTCATACCTTCTTCATATTCCTTCTTCACATCACTGTTCCATATTTTACTGATCTCGTTTGAGTGTTGCTGGTACACAGTTTTCCAGAATTTCACCAACTCCTCTTCTTCCACTTCTGGTTCCAGTTTCTTGCCTTCATTGTCATACAGTTGGATGTCTTCTTGGTTTCTCTCCTTCTTCCTTAGTTTGTCAATGTTTTCAAACATTGACTTGCTCTTGTTAGCACTGTTCCTGATTTCTTCAGTTGTCTTCTTTTCTGATTTTGTCACAGCCTCTTTCACCATTTCCTGGACCTTCTTTTTCTGTATTTTATACTGTTCATTGAGCAGCTTCTCTTGATCTTTGTCTTTGGTGTTTCGTTTTTCCCGGTTTATGGCCCTGCGTTTCTTGATAGCTTCCCTGATTTCATCTGTGACCCATGGCTTTTCTTTCACCTGTTGCCCTATCAGGCTTTTCTTGCGGTATGTTGCTTTTAACTTGCTGTTGGCCACTTCTGTCATCAGGCCATTGAGCTCCGCTATGTTTGTTATGTTCTCATTTCGGAGCCTTCTCTGCATCTCTTCTCCGAAGAGTTCCAATGAGCCAGCATCTACCTTCCAGAATTCTCTGACACTTGTCGTTCCCTTATTAAAGCTTTGGTTTCTTGTGGGTATTTCCATTCTGACCGAGATCATATGGTGATCTGAGAGGTCAAAAAGCTCCCTCTCTTCATCAATTGTCATGCTCTCAATACGCTGATAGCACCTCCTATTTGCGAGGACATAATCGATTGCACTATTTTGGTCCTGCCTTGACCATGTATATGTACCTTGGCAAAATTCTTCTAGGTTTAGCAGTATCAGTGATGATTTGTTTGTCCAGTCTAAGACAATTCTCCCATTTTCATCTTCTCTTTGATAGCCAAGCTGTCCAATGTGTCCGTTCATGTCTCCGAGCAACAATAGAGTCTCATCTTTTGCCATAATTGTTTCAATTATGTTATCAATTTCAGCTTTCATGTTTTTATTCCTCTCACAGTCTTCAGCAGATTTCCTTACAGACAGATATACAAGGATGATGTGCAACTTAAAACACCCTAATTCCATGACTGCATGCAAAATGTCTGTGCTACACGTTCTTTGTTTTGCAACACTTGTCCCTTGCTTAGTTTGGAACATTATCCGGAGTCCCCCTCCCTTCTTATCCCTCATCTCTCTCATACTCTCAATCATTGTAACACCTACAGAAACTTCATACTTTTCAAATTTTTGTTGTGTTTCTGTAAGACACAGTATATCACAGTTTGTTTTCAAAAGTTCTTCAAGCTCAAGAAGTTTATTTCTTGTGAGGCCCTGCACATTCACCATGTTGACTGTAACAGTTTTACTCTTTATCAGCTGATTTCCCCTTTTCTTCTTTCTTGGTAGTTCATTGGTTTCTGATGACCCTTCCTCGAAAGATCCTGTGTGTGGCAGTCCCCTTTTCCTCGAGTTCCTTTTTCAGCTCATGGAACTTCTTCCTCTCTTCTGGCGTTCTATCCAGGGATATGTATTTGTTTTCTATATTTACCTCTCATCCTCATGCGGTTCTTGTAGATTTCTTCTGCCTCTTCCCTGCTGGACAGTCTCACCAGCATCAGCCTGTTCTTCTTTGTCGTCTCATCTTTCTTTCCGAGCCTGATGATTTTTTCTGTCTTGAAGCTCCTGTTTTCTCCCATAAGCTTTTTCATCATTTCCTTGAATTGTTGTTCATCATGGTCTTTTCTTTCTTCAACATTGGCAGGCTTTGACTCGTCTATGTTGTGGAAGATCAGGTTTTGTGCTCTATTCTCCTTCTCTTTCAATCTCACGACTTTCTCTATGTTGGTTGTGTTACTCTCCAGGACTTGACTTTGTTGGGCCATCTGCCTCACCACACTTTCTTCCATCCCTTTGAGTTTATCACTCTGCTCTTCACTTTTCTGTTTGATAACATTGACTGCTTCAGACATTTCCGCTGTTCCCTTCATCGCAGACTGCAGTTTGCCAACTTGATCTTCTATCTTCTTTGCAGCTTCAGCATATGTTTTTGCTGGTTGTGTTTCTTTGATGCTTGTGATGATCACTTTCTCTTGCTGCTTCATGGCTGCCAGGATTTCTTGTTTTTGGGCCTTGATGGCAGAGATTATTGCCTGGTTGTCTTCCTGCACATTTTCTTTCTTGTCAGCCTTTGGTTGTGATTCCTCCTTCTCTTCTCCCATTGTGATGGCCCTTCTTGCAAGCTCTGGGAGGATAGCACGGCACTCCGAACATAACCAGAACACTCCCTTTGTCTCCTGGAGGGCTTTGTAGGTTTCCGACTGCACCTTCTGGCAATCCAGATGGAACCAGAACTTGCATCCATCACAACATACTCCATCTTGATTGTCTTCAACCTTGAGTCCACACTTCTTCTTGCTTCCTTTTCTTCTTCCTGGTCCTCCCCGGCAGATGTCGTGAGACGGCTGGCTCGTACCCGACGATGAGCGACTTCCAAATGGTTTATAAACATTAGAGTCTAGCCGCTTTACTCTACTTCCACCTTGTCCTTCCACATCCTGGTCATTTTTTTTTATTTATTTATTTATTTATTTATTTATTTATTTATTTATTCTATCACCAACAGGGCAACCCCCACTTACAGGTGAAGTCACAAAAAAACACACACACACGCACACACACACATACACACACACCTCATGCAGACAATAACAACCACGCCCGATAAACGATTGTATGAGCTCGATGTGCTATGCCTTGTCTATATATCTAAAATGTCAAATATGACAAGGATTAAAACGTAAAAAATGAACGGGAAGAGATGATAGGAAAAGATATACTGCAAAAAAGGAATAAAGTAAAATAGTGTTGTAAAAGACACTGCGCTAAATAGATGTTATGTACTTCACAACATGCTTTTTAAAAGCGCCAGGAGCATCAGCAAAAAAATCTGCTTCTGGTGAGCTACGTAAAAAGGAGTTCGCCACGTGTGACAATCTCACAAACAAACCTCGCTTCATAGTGTTCACACGTGGACAGGGTTCATAAAAAAGTCTGCTGGTGCGGACCGATCGGGTGGGTGCATGCATGCCGAAACTGCTGAGTAAGAGCCCGGAGTCATGACGTGAACCAAAAAGGTTTCGCATGAACATCAAATCGTGCTGGACTGTTCGGGATGATAGACGTGGCAGTCGGAAGTGGCTTAAGAGATCGGCATATGACAGCGATGAGATGTGTCGAGAGGACGTATGCGCACAAAGCCACATCAGAAACTTGTGCTGCACTCGATCGATCCGCACCGTGTGGGTTTCAGCCGCACCCGCCCATATCACGCTGCCGTATTCTAAAATCGAGCGGACGTTGGAGAAGTACGCATAGAGTAGTGCGTTGGTGTCAAAATTTGTTTTTCGGCCGGTTTGAAATGATCGAATGAGCAATCCTAGGCCACGGTTCGCCTTTTTAACAATTTCGTTGACATGTGAGGCGAATGTGAGCTTCGTGTCTAGTGTGATGCCGAGGTCTCTGATTTCTCCAACGTGCTCGAGCTCAGTGGCATTGATGAAATAATGGGTTTGGACGGGTGCACGCCTGAGAGTGATCGTGAATGACTTGCATTTTCTTGGGTTTAGGGCGAGTCCCCACCTGACAGACCAGGCAGCGAGTCGGTCGAGGTCGGCCTGCAGCAGTGGTCCGTCAGATGGCGAGACAATTTTGCGGAAAATTTTTTTAACGTCGTCGGCGTACATAAGGCAGCCGGCGTTAATTTCTTGCGGTAAATCGTTAATGAATAGTGAAAACAAAAGTGGTGCCAAAAGGGATCCTTCGGGAACTCCAGACAGAACTGACGTCCAATTTGACGTTTTGCCATTCACAATGACCCTCTGACGTCTTCCGGACAGATACGAGACGAACCAATTTAAAGCAATTCCTTCAAGTTTGTAGGACTGATTTAGTTTATGAAGAAGAAGCGAATGGTTCACGCTTTGAAAGGCGGCCGAATAATCTGTATATATAGCGTCCGTCTGATAACCGTCCGAAATGGCCTCCCACGCAGCCTTGAGGTACACAGCAAGGTTTGTGATACATGATCTCCGCGGTACGAAGCCATGCTGCTCAGTGCATAGTACCGGGGCAACATGCCTAAATAACTGGTCGTAAATTATCATCATCATTATCATTATAGTCATCATCGTCAGAGTCGAGTTCTTGAGTTTCGTTGAGCGCCTGTCCCACATTGTCAGTTCTTGTCTCTGTTTGAGCCTTAGCTCTATTTAGTTCTCCGTTTTTAGAAGTATCGGCCTGTGATTTATCCTTCTCCTCTACACTGGGTGACCCTGGTGGGGTTCTTTCAAGCGTATTTGATGGTTTAAATACGTCTCGATTCATGCCAGGCTGAGACGCCATATTGGGTTTAGATCATGCCCATGCCAGCATGCACGAGCAGGAACAGGAGGGTCAAATAGAAAAGTATGTGCAAAAACAGAATAACAAAACAATAATTCAGGCAGAATAATGCAACAAAAAAGAGTATAATATGCTGAAAACCAAAAATAAATATAGGACAAACGGGACACCCGACCTACCACGCGCCTTAACCGATCGCAAAAAAAAAAATGGGTGTGCCTCTGAAATAGGCGGTACGGAGCTGTTGGTGCGTTTGGGTCGCTGTTTTCGTTTCGATGAGGAGGGCGCCGCTCCTGAGTGCTTTTAGGGAATGAACTGGCCCTATATAAGTGTCAATGGACCGGCGAAGCAAAAAGGGGTTTGTGTGCCGGAAGCTCCCTTCCTCCCTTGTCACGATGGCGAACGCCGGTCCTTCGGGGATGGCTTGAGAGGGGGGGGGGGGGGGGGGCGCCGCGGGCTCCTCGGATGCGTGACCCGGTGGAGCCGGCTCGCGATCGACAGAGTCCATGTTGTTGATGTTGTACTCGGCTTTCTGTTCTACTTTACGTAATGTTTTGTTGGTTTTATTTAAGTACGTATTTGGTATTACCTCTAACCGTTTAACTCTTAGGATTGGAAGTCAGCAATTCACTGAAGCGTCTTAGCAGGATAAAAAAATGGGCGGAGGGGGCCGGCAGGCCGGTGACCCCGGAACACCCGGCTAACAACGAAAAGAGGAAAGTCGAGAGGCGGGAGGGTGGGGGGAGATTAAGAATCTCCCGGAGAGTGGGTGAGAGGAAAGATGAAAAAGACGACCACCTTATCTGACCTGCCTACCGGCGCTAAAGATCGCCACTAAAAGGCCTTGGAGCGGCCACCACGGGATAATAGAGTGGTCTTGAAAAAGACCAGTCTACGCGCTCTTACTGTTAAACAACTTGACTGAACGGGCAAGGCCACGTACAGCTGCAAGGTCCAACAGTATCCTGTGACCTTTCCTAAATTACCTACCTAGTTTTAACTACGCATATAGGGCTGAGGGCCAGGCAGAGGCGACCGGCACCGGTTGGTGCGCGGATAGCACGGCGAACCGTGTGCGCCCACCGCTGTAACGTGGCGAACCGCCCCCGTCACAGCAAGTGTACTGACTTACCTCGACGTTTAGGGTATAATGTACTATTTTTTTAACGTCACCTCCATTATCCATACTCTAAATCAATACTGCATTGATTACAATAACCGTTTTCACGACGACACGCTGGCTTTCCTTTGGTGCACATGGTGTGAATTTGGTCAAATTAACTCCTAGCTTTTGGTGGGTTTCCAATTCCAGCTGAGGAAGCAATCACTGATCATTTGAATCATCCGGCCCCGCTCCGGTGCTGCCCGTAAAGGCGGAAGAGCTCCCCGCAGAGGGCGAGGATGGACTTGTAGGTGCCCACGAGTGCGCCGAACCGGCCCCACTCCAAGGCTGCCCGCAACGGCAGAGGAACTGACAGGAGAGTCAGTGAAGTGCACCAGAGCGTGACAAGGTCGGCCCCACTCTGGTGCTGCCCGGCAAAGCGGAAAAAAACTTGATAGGACTTGCAAATGCGTAGAGGGAGGAGGTGCAGGGGACCGGCCAGAGGAGGAGTGGGGCTTAGGGAGATGAGGGTACTCCGCCTCAGTCAGCGGGGGAGGGTGGGGGTGGGGGGTCTGACTGAGGTCGAAGGGGGAGGAACAGGATTGGATGAGGGGTGGGAATCCACGTACGCGCGAGCGTCGCGGGGGTCCCAGCCCCTACGAATGAGTAGGGTGACCTGGGTCTCAGAGACCCAGCGGGGACAGGATGGGTCGTTCGCGGTGTGGGCGCCGCCACAGCCTGCGCACAGAGGATCTTCGGCAGGACACTGGGAGGATTCGTGCCCCGCCTCGGCGCAGTTGGAGCACGTGGGGGAGTCGGATCGGCAGTGCTGCTGGCGGTGTCCATAGCGTTGGCACCGCCGGCAGCGGAGGGGTTTGGGGAGGACAGCTCGGACGGGGAAGGAGAGGTAAGCGGCAAGGATGTAGGGGGGAGGTTCGGCGGTGGAAAAGGTTAGGATAAGAACCTTCGGAAAGCGGGGCGGGCGATACACGGCGGTAACGCCCACCCGGGAGAAGCCCTCCTCCAGCTCGGACAGGGACAGGTGTTGTAGGATTGGAGCGTAGATGGAGCCCTGGCTTTGGTTCAGGTGGGGCGGAGCCCACACCTTCACCTCCGCACCGGCGATTCGGCGGAGACCGAGCAAAGCCCGCTTCTCCGCCGCCTCGCAGGCGACGAGGAGGTCGCCCCCTCGCAGCGGCCGGGCACGGGGACAGCGCCCGATCGCCGACGAGAGTGCGTCCCCCACCGCCCAGGGGAAGAGGTCGGAAAGGGGAGAGCCGTCCATACGGCGGATGCGGACAAAGGATGGGACAGGAGCAGAGGAGAATGTATAGGAGGATGAGGCAGGGTTACGGGACATGGTGGAGGCAGGAAAGTGAGGTGGGTGTGGGAGTGCGTGGGTGTTGAGAGGGTGGTGTTGGGTAGTGGTGGTGTTGTATGATCGTAAGTGGGTGCTGTCTTGTGTTGTGTTGGTAGTGGTGAGGTGTAGCAAAGTGTGACTTACAAACGTGGTTGGTGTCGAGACGAAGGCAGCGGCAGCGAAGGTAGCAAGTCGGTTGAAGAGCGAAACACGACTCGCGTAGAGCGAAGGGGTTGAAGTCGTTAAAAGTCCCGTGGGACTTGGTGACGATGACCTTTCACGGTCCGTTTGGTGGCACCGAGGGCGGCCGGAGGACGGCCGGAGGCGCCTCAGCCTCTCCGTCGCGCTGGCCAGGGGCCATGGCTAGGCCACGTTGTATCAAGTTGATAATGTAAGTAAATAAGCAAGTAAGTATTCCCCCCTCCCCTCAATGGAATACCAGCGAGCTGGTATTCCATTGGAGGAGGAATTCAGGCCGTGATTGATCAGTGTTGCTATTCATGTTTGTGTTCATTTGTGTTTCTTATAGAGGCGGGTGATGGGTCGGGTCCGGCTAACCGTCTCCCACTCCGTGTCGGTGGCGGGTTCCGAGAGTGGAGCAGAGTGTGTGGGTGAGGTGGCCGCGCTCGTCTCCGTCCGCTCGGACAGAGGGGAGTCCGGCTCCAGCGTCGTGTTCGGTGACGTGTCTGCTGTCGGTGTTCGCGGTGGCTGTGGGTGAGGTCTCTGTGGTCGGGGTGGTGTTCGTGGTGGAGGGCTCGGAGGGCGCTGGGCACTCCGCACCGGCGGGGGCCTCGCCGGCGGGGGCGTGTCGTTTGTTTGAGCTGGGCGCGGAGGGCGTGGGCGCGGCGGCGGGACCTCACGCATTGTCCGGAGGGGGGGGCCACTCGGCTGGGTCCAGCGTGACTGTGGTCGCGGTTGGTACGTAGGTGTCACGTTTCATGCGGTGCTCCTTAGCCGCCTGCTTTGTGGTCTCTCGGTGCCGTCGTTTCGCGTCTTGTACTACCGGGCACCCCCCGTCCCAGGACGGATGCCCCCCCCCCCACAGTGGTAGCACAGACTATTAATACACGTATTAATTCCCAAAACACGTGTAAAGTCACAGTATCAGCTAGACAACTGATAATATTTGCACAGTTTGTACACAAACATAGATGCAGGCAGGTTCAAAACAGAGACAATGGCAATGAAGTCTTTAACTTAAGCTTTTAACTTTGTTTTCTTACCTCCAGGAAGCGCTTCTGTTGCTGCAGGGATATGATTTTCTTCGCTTGCCCCGTGTAGTGGACCTCCGCCTCCTGCTCCGAGAGTTGCAGTGATCGGCGCCAGCCGCCGAGGCGCTCTTTGATGTTCTGCGAACAGAAACACGAGTCATGAAACAAGTAGCATGCAACCAGCAGCAAAGACCGCTGAGGAACACAAGCAATCAAATCGTTTATTATCAAACTGACACGCCGATCAGGGGGGACCATCGCTGCGCATCGAAGCCGAGCGCCAGGGCGTCGGTGAAGAGGTAGTCGATGAAATCACCAAGCACTCGGATATGGCCGCGCAGCGTGGCGGTCTGGAGCTTGCCGCTGTTCTTTTGTGTTAGGATCCATCCCCCTCTTCCTCACAGGGCAGGATCGGACCCGTGAGGGCCCGAAGCAGGTCTTCGGCCACGGTGCTCTCCAGGTGTTTGTCAACGATGGCGGGAACCCAGAGTCGCACCTGCGGACATAAGAATATTGTGAAGTCTTTTCTCTTAATATACTCTAGTCATACAAGAACCAGGTAGATAACAGCTCAAGCAAGACCAGGTATTTATTTGTTTATCAATCCAGCGTTCTACGCTTTTGTTGGAACTCACGCTCTGAGTCGCCGTTGGGTGGTGGTCTCCCCCCCCCCCCCCGCCAGCCACCGGGCACGCCCCGCAGATATGTTGTATAGCGCTGGAGGAGCGCCACCGTGTTAGGAGGGCGGCCGTCATCCACCTCTGCCGGCTCCTCCACGCGCGTACAGTTGTCGTAGGCCTCCGGGAACTATCGGTAGTACCTAAGTAGTCGGCGCGCCCTAAAGCCCCAATTAACAAACAAACAAACGGTATGTGATGTTTAAACTCGTGCTAAAGACGGAATGATATCGTGTTTCTGTTATAACTGATACACTCATCGTACTAACACTCATGATACTAAGCACCCCTTATCAAGATATTTACCAACAATAGGATCATATTACACATCGCTGTCGTTAATATCTGATAAACAAAAAAGCATCACTTAAGGCTGAAACAGACTCGTTCCGCGTTCAGGAAATCGATAGGCTCTCGCATGCGATTTCCTGACTGCGGAAAGAGTCTGTTTCAGGCTTTACACATCGGGGCAGCTCCGACTCCCGAAGTGTCGGTCTAGGTGAGCAGGGACGTTGACGACAGTGGCGTAGAAGCCCTCAGCTCCACATCGCCAGCGCGGTCGGTTCCGTGGCTGAGGCGGTCTGTAGGTCATCAGCCGATTACGAGCAGTTCGCGCCGAGCTTAGCGTCGGCGGCAGCTCCGTTGGTGGAGGTGGAAGTTGCTCGGTGTCCTTTGCCAGCTC